TCAATTACACAGGAATAAATAATTTCTCACTTTATAATTTTAGTATGATTCTAGTTTTAAATATTAAGGTTATGGCTGATGGTAAATACTTGCTGAAATATAATCATGTGCATTAAAATGACGTGAACAAATTTTTACTCCGGAATTCACTTCTTTGATACCTACTGCTTTCATCCAAGCTTCTATTAGTTTACTTTTTTCTCTATAATTTTAGTATGATTCTAGTTTTAAATATTAATGTTATGGCTGATGGTAAATACTTGCTGAAATATAATCCTGTGCATTAAAATGACGTGAACAAATTTTTATTCGAGAATTCACTTCTTTGATACCTACTACTTTCATCGAAGCTTCTATTAGTTTACTTTTTTCTGTAATTTATCGAATATATAAAACGGTTAATTTTTAATGGAAAGTAGTTAATGTAGATGAAGAGTGAAGATCTATGTCTGAAGTGCTATTGCAGCTTTTCACTGAACATATTAACTTTTTATTTGATTTAACTTTAGAAGAAAACTTCGTCGACTCCATCATTAAAAAAATTTTTACTTTTTTAACGTGTTTTATTATTTTAATAAACAATTTTACAATTTGCGTGCACAGTTTCTATGTAAACATTTCCCTCATTCGAGTTATAAATTTTGCCACCAGATGGGGTATGCCCATTTGACGGATCCCAATAACGTTTAACCATCTATAGTACCAGTACCTTTAAGGACAGAATACTAATAAATAATTAGGACTGGTCGCTAAATATTTGGTAACCTGTACAGATACTGAAATAAATATATATACCATTTCTGGGCAAGCATACCATGGAAAAGAAGGACGACTTGTAGTTTCAGTTATAAACTTCCTTTATAGGAGACATTGTGCATAAATTTTGTGTATATAAGTATTTGTGTTATTAATACAGACCTTGTCCTCCTTTGCCATAGGTATAAGCAAAGTTAACTAAACCAACTTGCATCGTTTCTCAAGATCATATGGTATGTATTATACCTGTACGGTTTACAATTAACAAGTTACAATACGAGAATATTAAGAGACTTTTAAACTCTCGTTATACCTTTGTGTAATTTTTAATTGCACATTGCAATTCAAATTACACTATTGTATGCATTTCTCACACTTATGATATGGCTGTTACCACTAATGAATGATTTTTAATGTGTATGTAATTTAGGTACAAAAAAAGTAGTTTTTTTGGCATTTGGTATGCTGCCATACTATTCTTGTCAAGTCACTGTAATCGTCATGAACGATTATCTTAACTAATATCATTTCACTCCCTAACTACCGATCATCATGTAATTTTAAACACACATGGTTAGGGGTGCAGAAAAGGACATAGGGTACATTCTATCCAGAAAAAGGTACTGTTCCATGAGAGGTAGATAAATTAGTTTTATGCGATCGTCATTGACACATATTTAGAACATCCCCGCGAGAGAAGCCACAGGTAAAACTTACTATGAAATTTTGTACCCACATTGTCAGAGATACCGATGAGAACATAGGGTCCCTTTTATCCAAAAAAAAAAACAAACAGTTCCCAAGATTAGGATTAGGATAGAAAAATTAGTTTTCTGTAGTCGTCGATGAACTTAATCATGTATTAAGGATATCAACACGAGCTAAGCCGCGGCTAAAATCTATTATGAAATTTGTACATACATTCTTAGGGGTACCGAAAAGGACATAGGGTACTTTTTATTCAGAAAAAAAGTTGACACGTATTTAGAACATCAATACGAACGACACCTAGGGTAAAACCTTGTTATGAATAAAAAAGAATTTCATACGTAGCACAGCTAAAAACGAAACACCGCTGCTACTATTAGCTCTAGAAAGCATGTATTTCCAAATAGAAATGGATATGCCAAGGACGCAAAGGAATTTACAGCACGCAAGAGTTACTATTTATTTAAACAAAATAATAAATGATTTGACAGGGTAGATTTGTTGCGAATTGATTAAGTATTGGAACTATTATGTACTACATATATATAAATTTACATTCGTTTACTTACAGTTAGAAGAAATCTTTTTTTCACAATAGTAATGGTACCGAAAAGGTATTGCAGGTACTAATAAATAATTGCGTTCCGGGTAATTTATGAAGGAAAATACAATGAAAAATTATTAAAGTTTGTATGGTAGGTATTGTTGCATTTTCATTAGCTGATATCGACACAATTGAAAAATTAAATTAAGCTATTATACATATATACTAAACCTCAATCGTAACATTTTCAACTTGGTGACGTTACGTTAGAGAATAAACATAATTAGAAACCAGTGGCGTGTGAGGGGTGCAAAGGGAGCCATGGGCCCAGGGCGACGCAAAAGTAGACGCGGCAAAAATATTTTTTTGGTAGTAGATAGAATCAGGTCGATGGTAGATGCCCTAATTTCTTAGTATTTATATGAATTTGTAATAATTTGTAGATAATATGTAACAAGGATTACTGTTTAAGTTTGAAAAAATTCCATGACCTGTCCTGTATCTAAATGTAAAAACGGCATTTTTAGATAGCCAAAATAGCAAAAGGTAAAAGTCGAGTGGTCAAACCCTAACGGTTCACTTTATAATAGGGATGAACATAGACAAGTATGGTAAATAAAAGAAAGAAAATAGGCAGGGCTGCAAATTTAGGCTTCGCCCCGGTTGGCAGAAATTTACGCTACACCTCTGTTAAAAATTTATTTTCGTGATAGGTATGATAAAGTACAGAGCATTCTCAAAGTAAATTGAAAACGAAAAAGAAAACCTTGTTCTACATATAGGAATTAATGTCGGTTTCGTTTTTTTTGGCTTAGATTGGTAATTAATAAAACTTTTAATACGTGTATCATGTGTTAAGACTAATATGCATCCCAAGATAAAAATGTTCAGTCTCTCAGAGTCTCTGAAAGTGAGACTCGAGTCTCCGTGTCTCATCGAGTATCTCTGGTGTCGCTGAGAGAGACTGTCAAAAAAACTGTTTAGCGTCTCTGAACTCGAGTCGCTCATAGAGAGATTCTTATTTCGTATCCAGTTTCTGAACGAGAGACGAATCTCTCAATAAGTGGTGTCTCGACAGAGATGGTTAAAATTTTCTAAGTTCAGAGATCCCAGTCTTTCTACGAGAAACTCGAGTCTCTCAATTTTTCAGTTTTATTCATTCAGTCTCTCTGTGAGAGACTCGAATCTCTGAATTAACAATTTTATCGTTCGAGTCTCTCATACAGAGACTGTGAGAGATCCATAAAAACACCTAGGCAATAACTGAGAGACTGTGAGAGACGCTCTCAGAGACGCTGAAAGACTCTCGGAGACTGAAAATTTTTGTCTAAGGATTACACCCGGTTTATACGTGTTCTATCCATGTCTTTCGTCTCTTGAAGGTTTTATCATAATGGTTGAATTAAGAACATTCTCCTCATGCAAAATTTAATCAGAACAATCTTCTCAACCATAACCCTTAAGAAGTAAAAATAAAATGGATAGAATGCGTATTAACAGGCTATTACTCGGATTAACCGATTTCGTTTACTGACCGCATCATATATGTATTTTTCCTTAACTCCTCCAAATTTATTAAAGTACAATTTTTGAATAACTATTTTGTAATTAAGTGGATACATTTCTGCTACTGGAAATTTGTAATAAATTGCAAAATAAAAGAACGAAAGAAACGTAATAGTTTATTATGACGAGGAGAACCATTAAATTTCAGGCAAGTAGATACCTACTTCATTACTTTACCAACGTTTTCGTAACAACAAACTTTCTAATAAAGTAAGATTTCGTTTCAATTGCTGTCTGCTATGGTTAGGTACGTTTGCGGTAAGAAAACTGACCGTTACGAAGGATCCATTACCTACAGTGCAATTGAAAAATTTGTGTGTACAATAGTCCGTTCGAGTTTTCAATATTTAAACCATAAAATCAATTGTAGCAATACGCCTAAGATAACGATTTACTT